TAGGGTTTAGGGTTTAGGTAGGGTGTTAGAGATTTCACCTTTGAGGGCCAAGGTTCAGACGTTACAGGGCTTGAAGGCTGCCGGGGGTTAGGTTTAGGGTTGGGGGATGAGATTGGGCTTTAAGGTGGAGGCTGAGGACATAAAGGACTCCTTCTCATAAGGATTCTACAGTAGAATTTCTACTGCTTAAAGTCTTCTGAGTAATTTTCAGAGGACACCCTATATAAGTATACTACACTATAAACCCCCGAGACCCTCTGCTAATCATTCGATTCCCTAGTTCGCCTCGGCCCCCGCCGAAGTGGTCAGAGGTTCGCCCCCACCTCCCCCTGCCTAGCTTCCGCTTTTTTGCGCGGCAGCAATTTGATGCACCGTCCGAGGCGGACGACGCGATGCGTTTAAAATTAGCCTGAACCCGAAACCCTGCACTCCCGTAACATATTAGGGTCCCTTATAGTCGCTGAAGCTGACAAATCAGGAGGGGGACCTCCACCCTGTGAGGGTCTTTTTGTGCGGGAACTGGATGGCCGACATGCAGGGTTGGCTGCCCGAGATGCAAACAAACATGTTGCTTCGATTTAGGTCGGGCTTCGGGGGTCATGGATTCGCGAGTTAGGGTTTAGGATGTGTAGCCGCGACTCATGATCTGCGACGGCGCTCGGAGTTGCGCAAAACGAATCATTCCGGGAAACCATCTCTATGTTCTTAACCCTAAACTCTAAACCCTTTTTGCTCCGAAGTACTAACCGGGCAAATCAATTTAGGGTTTAGTGTTTAGGTCCCCAACATCTTGCGCTTTGTTGAAACACTCGGGTACTTTGAAGTATCCCAAACAAGAGAGAAGAATGATAGTGAGAAACCCCCAAAGAAGCGGACTGAGTGTGCCATGGCTTCAACTGGTGCACATAATATAGGGGCCTTAAGAATTAGAATAGGACTTTGAGAACTATACTTATAACAATGAACCCCCAAAATGGTATTGGAAATTATGTAGGCCCCTATATTAGCCAAGTCACGCCGATTGGATTCGCGTGTGCCGAAAAGCCCGTGTTGAGCTTTCCAACGCCTCACGGCAGCAGGGCTACGAATCCGAAAATGCGAACCCTGTAGCTCGCAATGTAAATGACATTAACAAGAGAGCTCGGATACGATCATCTTTATCAAGGAACCGGAGTCCATTCGTCAAAAACTACATGAAAGCTGAATCGTAGAGCTAAACGGCTTGAAACACTAGCGAAGCTTCGCGTCGTAGACTTCGGGAATTACAAGTCTAGATGAGTCTAAAATAATGGCCTTAACAGTTGGGGTAGGGAGTTTCGGTCATACGAGTATTACAGTACAGCTACATCGAGGAGCCCTCAGGAAAAATATTGCTAATCTTTGTGGTTTCTATATTATATGGGTAGTTGTCAAAATTATGGTCCCTTTTGGGGTACCCTAAAAAACAGGTGCCATATTATAATAAGGACCCAAAAAGGGACCATCATTTTGACACCCACCCATATCGATCCCTGGACCAAACCCCCATCATGCCATGGCGCGCTGTGCAGGCTGGAACGCAAGTGAAGATTGGGATGCGCCTCAGACTCTCAAAATGGGAACTCTTAAAGGGACATATACATTCAAGCCGTATTAACCAGGTTGCATGGCGAGTCTTCATTTGGGATTGCAGTGCTATTGCTCTCAGCTCTAGAGAGGAACTGATTTGAAGATTCAGGTTTGAATGCTTTCGAACTCGCTTTTGTCGACAACAGTCGTCATGGAGGCCTGCTGTTTGCCGTACCTACATCATTTACGCTTGATTGAAAGAGTTGACCAAGGATGCTGCAAGGGACTATGAAGAAGTCCTGGCCTAGCTCGCCAATACTTTCCGGTGGTTCGGGGGTTTTCCTAAACCCTACAGACGAGAATGGAAACCAAGCATCTTGGGTCCTTGGACGACACCGTCTGCAAAGCCAGGAACCGTCGACCTAATGATGACCCTTCCACAGGGCTCGAAGGGATTCCTGTCATAAGAGTTTAGGGTTTAGGGTTTAGGGTTTAGGGTTTAGGGTTTAGGGTTTATTGATAAGGCTTTGGGATTTACATGCTCCGCCAACCTAATCATAACAAGATCGACCCTAAACCCTATAAACCCTAAATCGGGAGACCCTAAACCCTAAACCCTAAATCGGGAATCGAATCGTGAATCGGACAAGGTTGATCAGGTCGCCTGATCGTGGGGATGTCGGGGGCGTAGACGAAATCCCTTGGCCATCCAGGAACCGGACTAAGGAACCCTGGGCCTTTTTTGGTGTTTCTTGGTATGAACCCTACACCCTAATCCCCTAAACCCTAAACCCTAAACCCTAAACCCTAAACCCTAAACCCTAAATGTTTCTTGGTATGAACCCTACACCCTAATCCCCTAAACCCTAAACCCTAAACCCTAAACCCTAAACCCTAAACCCTAAAACCCTAAACCCTTAACCCTTGCCTTGGGGTTTTAGGACCAGGGTCCTCAGGTTCCTGCACTATGCAGGAATATGGTTCAGCGTTCAAGAACCAGGTCAACCTAATCCCACCGTGTATACTTCATCAGGTTCTTGGAGGAGCATAAGGTCCTATAGCTTGTGCAGAGAGCCTCAGATAATGCGTAGCTCCCACCCTACAGTAGCCTGTAGCATGAAGCCAAAGCTTGAAGAAGACCTGAATCTGAACAAAGCGGAATCCGCAAGAACCCACATGAATGAAGCCCTGAACCCCAAACCCTGAACTCTAAAACCCTAAACACGGAGCCTCGCCAAGAGCGTGGGGCTGTGGGATTTGGGGTTTAGGGTTTTAGATTTTAGGGTTTAAGGGTCTAGGGTTTAGGGTTTAGGGTTCGGGTTTAGGTTGGAGGGTTGGCGTAAATCCTAACCTGGAAGGCTTCGGGTTTAGGGCTCAGGGGCGCCCAAGACCCTGCGAAGTACCAACGGGTTCAAGATTTAGGGTTGAGGTTTCAGGTTTGGGGTTTAGGGTTTAGGGCTTAGGGCTTCGGGTTTAGGGCCACTGTGCCTTGCCGACGTGGTGGAAATCCTTCTTGTACATCTGAACTCGGACAGTAAAGCCCACCACTGGCACCTGGACGTTTTTTGGTGGCAAGAGAGTCTAAAGGAATAGTGTGCTACATTATAGTATACGCCAGCATATAGCGTTTGCGGGGTTTAGGGTTCAATACAAAGCAATTCCCTCACCGCAGCCAGCAGCCCTCGAACGCTTGTCAAAGAGGATACCAAACCACTGCCTTAATGTTAGGGACTACAAGGGGTTAATATTCTAGCTCTTCCGACTCCCTATGTTAGACGCGTTCTGCTTCAAAGGCGTCGGATGGGCTTGGGATCAGGGTTGGCCCCAAACCCTAAAGCCTAAACCTTAAAACCCTAAGACCCAAAGCAACAAAGCCTAAAGTAGGCTGCGGGGTCGATGCTACCCTAAACCCCTAAACCCTAATCCCTAAACCATAAAGAGCTTTTGAGGCCCGAATCCCCGGCGGCTGCAAAACCCTACATGCCGGGCCCTCTTCTAAGTGATTTGTCTTGGGTTCAAGGCTTTGGGCTTGGGCCCTGGGGCTGCACGAGCGCAACCCCCAAACCTTAGCCCCCTAAACCCTAAACACTAAATCCACAAACCGTAAACCCCTAAACCCTAAACCCCCAAACCCTAGACACTGAACCCACAAACCTTAAACCCCTAAACCCTTAGACCCCTAAACCCTAAACACTAAACTCCCAAACCTTGAACCCCGCAACCCCTAAACCCTAAACCCCCAAACCTTAGGCCCCTAAACCTTAAACACTCAAGACGCAACCCTAGAGCCTTGGAACCCAGAGTTTAGGACTTTGGGTGCAGGGCTCGGGGAGGTGCAAAGACGAACCCCTGCATCCTCCAACCCTAGAGACGAACCCCTCAATTCGGGGTGTAAGGTTTAGGGTTTTGGGTTTTGGATTTAGGGTTTAGGATTTGGGGTTTAGGATTTCGGGTTTAGGGTTTAGGGTTCAGGTTTTAGGGTTTAGGGCTTAAATTTAGGGTTTATGGGTTCAGGAGTTGGGGTTTAGGGTTAAGGGTACAGCGGCTTTAGACTAGGGTGCTGGTGCATATCATGGTCTAGGAGAACCCCAAGGCCGTTTTATTCCCCCCAAACAAAAGAACTAGATATTCTCAAAGCCCCTACCACATACATCCTTATGACTGACACCCCTAAAGGCTTGTAAGTAGGAATCCAAACCCTAAACCCTATTCCCTCAAGTCGACGAGATCTTGAACCCGAAAGCCCCTAAACCCCTAAACCCAAAAGCCTATACCCCAGAACCTGAACCCCAGACTCAATTCTGTCAGGGCTTAGGGTTTAGGTTTAGGGCCTAGCCTAAACCCTAAACTCTAAACGGTTTCGAGTCTTCTTGCGGCCTTCATGTTCATCTTCCTGGTTTCTTGGTGACACATAATAATATGGTATACCCCAAAGCCCTAAACCCTTAACCCTAAACCCAAAACCCTAAACCCTAAAGCCCTAAACCCTAAACCCTAAACCCTAAACCCTAAAACCTAAACCCTAAACCCTAAACCCTAAAACCTAAACCCAAAGTGTTCAGGCCCGGCCTTCATGTTCATGTTCTTGGTGACGACCGTGTACCCCTCCCCAGGACAGCTGCCGACCCGAAGGCCTGACGTGTCGCTTCTTCTTCTCTGTTTGGTTTTTGGGGCTTAGGGCTTTGGGGCTTTAGGGTTTCGGGTTTAGGGTTTAGGGTTTAGGGTTTAGGGTTTAGAGTTGGGGGTTTGGGGTTTCAGGGTTCGGGCTTTCGGGTTTTAGGGCTTCAGGGTTTTAAGGTTCGGGGTGTAAGGCTTCGCTGTTTCCTCCTTGCCGTTCCGCTTGGGGTTAGGACGGTTAGGAGCTTTAAGATGTTGAGGCTGAGCTTCTTGGGCGCGGGGGAGTGGATGTATGGTTCCGGGCTTTATAGACCCTAAACCTTACTTAAGCCCTCAACCCTAATCCCGAAACCCTCAACCCTAGACCCTA